TTTTCCAACAAAGAACAGTAAATTTGTCAAGAAATGACAGGACAAAGATACTTAGTATGGGTGCTCATTAGTGAGGACTCTACACAGTTGGGCTTGTGTAGTAAATTAATAAAGGAGCGACAAAGGTTTGTGTACGCTTTTTGGCCTGGATTTCATAGCTCTGGTGATAAGGGTGTCTCGCCCAGCCCTGCTGGAGCAAGGACACCCTGCACAGGGGAGGTTTGTTTCCTGCATTCACGGAGACAGGAAAGGGTCGACATGCCCTTCTTGCACTGGCTGTTTATCAAGTAATTTAAAATCAAAAGTAATCAATGAGCCATTGTGGGATATTTGGGGGCAGCATGCTCTGGGTCCCAACACCTGCCAAGTGAAAGTGGTCAGTGCTGTGGGGAACCAAGTGTTGCAGGTTAGGCGGGGTCTTCGATTCCACAACTTTAGCATGGTTGTAATAGTGGCTCCCTCAGGCAGGTGTGGGCTTCAGCTTTTGGAGCAGTGCTTAAACAGTGTGTGCTCAGTAACTGTTCGCTGCTGCTGTTACGCTGCAGAAATGCTGGGCGGTAAGATCTGTGAGGGCAGACACAGGGAATGTGCCTCAGTCTGAAATCCGCACCTTTGAGCAGGTTGACCTTTGAAGGCCCTGGAGTTCCGAGAGATTAGAGAATGTACCTGACCTGCATGCCCCTCCTGTCTCATTTTCTCCTTTCCCTGCATCCTGCATCCACCATTGCAAAGGATTTCCACCTGGAAAGCTTTCCCTTCTTAACGTGTCCTTAGAACATGTTTCCTCATCTGAATTGCCCTGTACAGTAGCTTTGAAATCCTTAGATAGGTAGCCTCCTCAGCAGCTTACTCTGCCTCTTAGAACTGCAAATGTAATTAATAATGGAGACATTAATGTGAAATGGAGGCAATAATCTCTAACTGAAAGAATTGTTTGGCTCAAATAGAATGTACATTTATGAAGCTAGCCCAGTGCCAGAGTACCACTGTACAGGTGCTCAGGTAACATTGCTACCTTCCCCTTACCTTCCATTTCTTTGTCCTAACTGATTGTGCATCTCTATCCATATTTTGGCCTCTTCCTCTCATCTGGGAAATTGTAATAACCCCTTTACTGGTGTTCCTTGTTCTAATTTCTCCTCTCTCCTACTCCAAATGAATTCTCACTAGATTACAAAATTTGTGAATAAATGTTTTATTTTTAAAAAGAAGAAATCTATTCTTGGCAATATGATGGCCTACACATTCTGAAACTTCCATTATAAAACATCTGAAAGTAATAAAATATTTTTAAATCTAGGGAAGTAAGCTAACTCTGGGGCCGCTAAAGTCCTCAAGGCATCTCTGGATCTAGGGGCCCAAGGAGGGGTACTGGAGATATAATTACAGCTTTTAGTACAAAGGGACAAAAAGATAGAGAGTATGAAAGAGCATGGAATGAGTGAGAAGTTAGAGTGTCTGAGGTTATGATGGGCACAATGGAGGAGAGATAATATTCAAAGATGTAAGGACTAGAGTGTTGGGAAATGATACACAGGAAGCCTAAAGAAGACTGAGTGGGATAAATTAAAAGAAACCTATACTTAGACATTACATTTAGACTCAAGATTGATATTCCCAACAATGATGAGAGCCAAAAGATAGCAAAATAATACCTTCATAAGAAAAAGTAGTTGTCCACCTAGAATTTTTAATGAAATAAAAACATTTTTATATAAACAAAAATATAAAAATATATACTACCAAAAGATTCTCACTAAAAAAAGGTCTCAGTATAGCTTTCAAAAAATACTTGAAAATGGCCTCCAAAAATCCATCTGAGGTACAGAAAGCAGTAATGAATAAAGGTAATAGTAAGCATGAGAGTAAATCTAAACAGACAATGGCTGTTTATAGAAAAATAATGATGTCCATTTTAGTAGTGTAAAAAAAAAAGTAATAGATGCCATCATCTAAGGTTGGAGGCAGATGATTAAAATTAAAGTATTTCAAGATTCTGGTATTCTTAAGAAGAAATAAAGCAATCGATTATCTTTGGACTTTGAGTATTCATATAATGACTATGAAAGCATGGTCTAGTCACTCTAGTGCATAAAATGGGATTTATTTTTCTTTTTTAAAAAATATATTTTATTGATTTTTTACAGAGAGGAAGGAAGAGGATAGAGAGTTAGAAACATTAATGAGAGAGTAACATCGATCAGTTGCCTCCTGCACACACCCCCTTCTGGGGATGTGCCCGCAACTAAGGTACATGCCCTTGACCGGAATCGAACCTGGGACCCTTGAGTCTGCAGGCCGACACTCTATCCACTGAGCCAAAGCGGTTACGGCTAAAATGGGATTTTTTGATCAAGCTCATTACCACCTTTTCACAATAGACAACCAGATTTGTTAAAATACATCTGCCTACCAACTTCCTATCTCCTTATAAATAAAGCCTTTGAATAGGATACAATGGGATTCTAATCAATAATCTCCCTCATTATGTTCATTATGTAACTACAGGAGATTTATACAGTTGTATATACTTAATATGTGCTATGCAATCAGTTTTATCATTCTTCAGTCACCGTTGTGAGCAACAATGCCCCTCATTCATTGGTGTCAAGCCCATGTCTTTCACATGAGGAGCCTCACCAAGGAGCAAAGGCCATAGAGGCAGTGTGTGTGTGTGTGTGTGTGTGTGTGTGTGTGTGTGTGTACCTGTGTGACTGCATGTGTGGCTTTAAAATCAGGGCAGTTGCACCTGTCCCCAGAAGGCCTTTCCCAGCCTGCTCTAATGCTTACTGGTCCCTTTCTTCCCTGAATTCCACTCATTTATGCCCACACCATCTCATCTATAAAATGGAGGTAATAATAGTGCCTTATTTTTAGAATTATGGTGTGGATTCAATGGGTTAATACATGTAAAATCATGTAGAGCAGTGCTTTTATAGCACACTGGCTATATCCTGTTGAGCACTTCTAAGTTATCTTGTTAGGAGGATTGGTTGCTTCCTTTAAGTCTGAACAACTAAATTAATATTAACCAAAAACAAGATTAAGTTTGACATTTCTATGGGAGATGGAATGCAATGCAGGGCTAAAGGTCATTGCATTAGCATTGGTCACCCCTGGGTGTCTCAAGATCACATTTCAGTTGGAGAGATCTTTGGGAACTGTTTCTAGTAGTTTTAGTGTGGGGATGACAAAGCTGTTACAAATTTTTGTGAACATGTGCATGAATTCATAGAGAGGAGATTTCTATTTGAAAAGTAGAAAAATAGATTTATAGATCTTAGAACTGAAGGAATCTCAAGATGCCACTATACTAGTTTTAGGGCTTTGGAGAAAGCCTTTAAAATATAGGTCCTACATTTCTCTTACAGGAAACAAAAATGATGTGTGTATTTCTAAATTCCTTCCCGGCATTAGCCCCAGTGCTTTGCCTTAAGTTACGTGGATTGTCCAAGTAGCTAAAGTCCCGAGAGTTTGAGGGACTGGTCAGAGTTCCCCAGTTAGGGGTTGGTGGCTGAGAGGGTTAAGTTTAAGGCAAGGCCCAGGTCCCAGCTGGTCTGCTTTCGAGTCAGGCGCCTCCGCCTCGCGGTGGTCCCGCTTTGCAGCAACACCCGCCGCCTGAGGTCACTTGTGCATGCACTGTCCTCACATCAGCTGTGTCAGCATTTGACATCATTGAAAATAGCCAGTATTTGCCATACATGATTCTATTTATGGTAGTCAGGTTTTTCTTTATAAAGGAGGTTATGGTAATTTTATGATTATTTTTGAATACACACTTTCAACCCTTACATAGGGAAAGCAGATGGGACACATTTTTTTAATTTCCCCTGGAAACCTGCAGAGCGGATGTTTTGAGTCCCTTTGCTCCAGGTGGATAGCTCAGCATGGTGCTGGCAAGAGCACCGTGTTCATAGGTGGATATTCACCCACTTTCCAGACCTAAGAATTCTTGAGTCTTCAGTCAAAGGAGATTTAAAGGATTTAAATCTTAAGAATAATGTACCTCCTAATTTAATCAGGTGCCCAAGTGAAAGACAGTCTAAAGGCAGCCAAATAGTTGATAAAGGAATAAAGATAAATAGCCCTCCCTACCTATTTGAATAGGCATGTTTAGAAAAATGTCATGTCTGTCCAAATTAAAATTAAGAATAAATGAACTTATTGTTAATCTGTGCTTTTGCTTTGGGACCATCTGAAAAAATTTATATAGCTCAATAGAGAAATTCTACAGACTTTGTAGTCCAGGAAAATAGAAAGAAAAGGAATAGAAGGGGTCTCTGAAGAAAAATTCATTTGGAGAAATGTTATGAGGATGCGAGGTTCTGTGAATTCTAAAGATGAAGGATACCTGCTCTCGGGTCATTCACAGTCTCCTGAAAGAGAAACTTATTCAAGAAATTATGTTACAGAGCAGCAAACCCTGCAGCAGAAGTATCGCAGGTTGGCGTAGGACTAATAATAATTAAAGTTATAATCTGGTTGGTGGGTGTGTGGGAAAAATGCCAAGAGGAGTCCTTTTATATCCTGAGACTTTTTTCTTATGATCCCTAGAAACTTCAGCAAAGACTAAGGCTGTGGCACATGAGCCTGTTGAACATTCTCTTGGACTAATATGTATTTCTAGTGTGCCTCTTTTGCTGTCCCAGTCTTTAAGTCCTCTCTGCTAGCGTGCAGACTAGAAAGTAATGCCCTCTGGGTTCAGATTCCTGCTTCCTCTTCCTAGTTATGTGACCATGAGAGATTACTTCTCTGTGCTTCAGTTTTGCTAAAAGCAAGAGGACTAGTACCTGCCTGTCCGGATTATTGTGATGACTCAATGAGATCATTCATGGAAAACATTTTTAGAATACTGCCTGTTACATGTAAAACCGAGACTTTTTTACTTCTCATTGTTTGTTCTGGTAGCTAATAAACCAGGAACATGTTGATCATTTAGGTTCTCTTTCCAAAATACTAATTTCTGTCAAATAAAATTTTCCATTTTTTTTCCTTTCTAGCTCCAAGAGGAAAGCGGGGATGGAAAACCTTTTATGCTGTACTAAAGGGAACAATTCTTTACTTGCAAAAGGTAAAAATTTATTTATTTATCAAACTGAAATAATGGACAAGTTACCCAAAAGATACTCACTTTGTACAAACACCCAAAAGACGGTTTAATTGATATCTAAGTTTCTTTTTAAGTTTTTGTTTTGTTTCTAGTGAAATAATTATTTTGGAGATTATACACTTCACTTTTGAGGGACAACAATGGGAAATATGCAGATGATTGTTGATATTAGGAGATACCCATGCTCTTAGGTGGTCATTTATCGTGTACTGTCTTTATTTCCCTATGGATTCTACACAGCTGCTAATGTGTAAGTCAACTCCTTTGGCCTCCTCCAGAGCAGCATGTGTGTACATGCTGGGTCCACATTAGTCCTTTCAACTAGTTTTGCTTCTCTAGGGAACAACCCTTTGTAATTAAATTTCACATATCACAGCTGTTTCCCTGGCTTAATCCTATTCTTTTGGCTTATTTTTTCATTTTCTCTAAAATCTCTATAAGGGACATGGCTGCCCTTGGCAAAACCATTTCATTGAGTACCTCGCCACAGGCTTTCCACCCACTCCGTCCCAGGCTGAGCCCGCGAAGAGAGACAAATACTCCTGCTTTCAACATTTGACAAAAGAGTTGCAAAGAGAGATGCTGTTTCCAGGTCGCCGAGTTTCCCTGTCTCTCTCAGGAAGTGAATTGAGTTGAGTTGGACTCATGCAGATATAGAAGAGAAAGAACTAAGTAAGGACAAGAGGAAGGAGGCTTTGTAAACCTTGAAGCTTCTACATCAGTTTGGATTAGCGCTCCAAAATCAGATTGCATCTCCGTAGTCGTGGTTCCTCTGGAGTGTGGCAGATGTGGATCTGGGGAAAGTTGGGTGAAATTCCTCTTATACAATGAAACATAGGACACAAAGGAAATGATGCATTGGTGTAAGCGAGTGCAAAGTAGAGCTAGGGCCTATCAGCTTGTTATTTCCTTTGGATCTGTTAAGAATGTAGGCATTACTACAAAGGATCCACTTAGGTTGAGAACGAGTCTGAAAAGGGTAGTCATGTTTGGGACCCAGTCTCCTCCATTGTTGTTGTTGTTAAAGCCTGTTAAGAGAAAAGGAAAAAGAGAGTTGGAAAAAAAATGTGACAAGTCACCTTCCTAATGCCACGACCGTTTAGTACAGTTCCTCATGTTGTGGTGACCCCCAATTTCATTGTTACAAATTGAACATAATTAAAGCATAGTGATTAATCACAAAGATAATATGTAATTATATATGTGTTTTCCAGTGGTCTTAGGCGACCCCTGTGAAAGGGTCGTTCGACCCCCAAAGGGGTCTCGACCCACAGGTTGAGAACCGCTGACAAGTGCTTGAAATCTCATCATAGTAATCAATCAATATGTGTTCCTAGAAATTTCGCACAAATCTTAGAGACGAGCTCATCAGTCAGTGAGAGCCTGATCACAGCAGGCCTGGTCTTGTATGGATATATCTACTCTGATTTTTTAATTAGTTTCTTCCTGGTTTGTACAATGTAAAAAGCAAAAAGGCACTGCAGAAATGAAGATGTATACATCTGGAAATGCCAAGCACTGGTGAAGGTCACAGGGTGCTGTCTGCTACAAAGGGACCTTGCGATCTTGAGCTACTCACCAGACACAGTAGCCGTAGGCTCTTAGACTTCTCCTTTGAGCTACCTCTGAGCTGTAGAGTGTGTAGGAGGCTCAGGATTGCTGCAGGCTGTGTCCTACAAAGGCTCCTGATGTTGCATTGCTGGCTACTCCCTAACCTTGCTGAGTCTGCCATCAGCACACGATGGCAGCTGCTGCACACAAAGTAAGCTCTGTAGGATGCAATGTATGCTGTGTTGCAAGGCGATTTGGGGTTTATACAGTTTGGAGTTTATATCCTCATATAACCGTTCAGTGTTCATCACATGTCAAGTACTCTGTTATGCTAAATACTGGACTTCCAGAGATTACTAAGACCCGATCTCTGCCTGTAGAGCTCACAAAACAAGAGGAGAAATGGGTAAATTGAACATTCATCACACAATGAGATAAATTAATGGAGGAATGAAAAAGTCTTACTGAATAGGGCTCCCTAATCAAGCTTGCACAGGTCAGAGAACGCCTCCCTGAGAGATGAATGCATCTTGAGCTGAGCAGGCGTTTGCCAGGCAGTGATCCAAAGCACTTAGCCAGAGAAGCAGACTTAGAGATATGGCAGTTCAAAGAACGGCAAGACAGCTTTTTACATTTGGATTATAGGATGAATGGGGAATAGCAAGTGGTAGAAACATGAAAGTTATGTTTCAAATAACTAGATATCATGAAGACGAAAGAGGTGGTGTCACAGTGTCATAAACTGTCCACTTTACAAAAGGAGCAGTGTTACGCCCCAGAGGAATTTCAGACTCATTGCCTGTGAGTTGTGTGCTGCTTCCACAGACACCCAAGTACTCAAAGGATTCAGGCAGCATATACTCCCAGGCCAGGCAGCCCCTCCCACAGAACCTGCTGGATAAGGCGTGTGCCCTAGGAGTGCACACTGCCCTTCCCTCCATGCTCTCGATGCCAGTATTAACATTCCTGGGATTCAAGTATGGCTGAGAAAAAAGTAGGCACCTTTCTCTCCTTCCCTCCAGTAGCCCGTTCTCCCTTATTTGAGTCGGGTTGCGGGGGCTGACCAGCAGACCCTGAGGGACGGATGAATGGATTACTCCGACACAACAACGTTGCTGTGGAAGAGGGCTGAGGGACTGCCTGGCTAAAGGAACCGGGCAGCCTCGATTGCCTGCCTCGTTAGGCTTTTATTGTAGCAGCAGTTTGAGATAAAGTTTATCTTTTAGATACAATCAGCAGGGTAAGTAATATTCGGAGGCACATGTGTTTGTAATGTCCTTTAAGCAAGGACACCCAAAAGATTAAGCATAAGGATTCCAGTAAACACCCGGCGCTCTGCTTGTACACAGACTTGTTCGGAAAGGTCAAGGAATAATTAAGGCCCCACCTTCCACACTCCCCTAACTCTCCCTAAGTCGGAATTCCAATAAACAGGGCAGGCGGCCTTCTGCACACTTTCCGTTCCTCAGAATTTCCTCCTTACAAACTTTCCAACCAAGTCTCCTGCTTCCCCACAAGGGGGAATGAGAAAGGGCCCATTGTTCCTCTAGCCCAGCGGGTCTCAACCTGTGGGTCATGACCCCTTTGGCGGTCGAACGACCCTTTCACAGGGGTCGCCTAAGACCATCCTGCATATCAGATACTTACATTACGATTCATAACAGTAGCAACATTATAGTTATGAAGGAGCAACGAAAATAATTTTAAGGTTGGGTCACAACATGAGGAACTGTATTTAAAGGGCCAGAAGGTTGAGAACCACTGCTCTAGCCCAAGACTGGCTTAATTCAGTTTGGCAAAGACTTTAGTCAGCATACCCTATGGGTAGGGCCTATGCCAGGTGTGGAGATACAGAGATAATAGGACCTAGCATTTGTTCTTAAAGGTCTCGCTAGAACACCTAAGTTCCACCACCATTCACACCTTTTCATGACTTAGCCGAACTTTGACTAACAAATTGCTGTTCTGATGGAGGGCCATAACAGGAAACAAATCAATAATGAATGTGCGTGTTAGATTAGGACTCTGCCAGTTCTTCAAAATGTACACCCTGGAGATTGGATTGTGAGCAAGATATAGTCCCTAAAGGATCTGAAGAGTTCAACAGATAAAAGATATTTCAGTGCAGTTTGATGTGTGCTACAAAGAGGGCAGTGTGCTGTGGAATCACATCTGGAAGGACACGTAACAGCCTCAGAAAGGCAGGGAAGATCGTGGAAGAATCCATGAAGAAAATGATATCTAAACCTACACTGAAAAGACAGAAGTTAGTCGTACAGAGGATCCAGGCAGGGAGAAATCTGTGTAGGTGCCTGGATGGGTGGCATCACAGGACATTCAGGGAGCTGCTTGTTCAGTGGCGTGAAGGGCGTCCTGGGCAGATTATGAGGAGCCCAGAAGGCCGTGTTTAAAAGTTGAGGTTTTATCTTGGAGCATTGTGGAGCTACCAACATGTCTTTAATGGGGGGTGAGACCAGATCAGCTGGAACTATGGTAGGGGTAGCGGGAAGAGAGAACATGGTCTCAGTGGAGAGTTGGGTTTGCAGTGTTGAATTCAAGGTGTCTGTGGAATAATAAGTGGATCTGTCCAACAAGCAGCTGTTAATATCAGATCTGAAGCTGAGGAGGAGCCTAGGAATATGGATCTGGAGAATCTGCCAAAAAAGTCATTGGTAATTTCAGCCGTGGAGTAGATAATGTCACTCAGTTTGTGGAGTAAGGAGAATATGGGCGAGAGAGCCAGTGGCAGGAGAGGAACAGACAGTGAAGGAGCCCAGAACCAGGATGAAAAGAGAGGGGGGAAAGACAGAAGGGCAGACAGACACACAGATATGAAGAGATGATAGAATGTTACAGGTTGTAAAAAGTTTGTTTAAGTAAGATAATCAGAAAGTGCCTCTTGCTTTCAGCAACAAGGATATTATTGTGAAGCAGCTGCAGTGAATGCTGGGCATGGCAATCAGGTGGGTGTGAGTTAAAGACATAGACAGGGAACACAGACAGCTGCTTTTAAAAGGCTTGACTAGTCTCCACTCAGATCTTCCCTCCGCTCCCCCCTTTCTGCTGTCCCCCATTATGTGACTTTCGCAAATGACAGATCCCCAGGGTCTATCTCATTTCAGCTGAACCTCTTTTCTTTCCTGTTATTGATTTCTCTCTAAAGTGAAGTAAAGTGTGTGGAAACATATCTGGAAGGACACAGATGTGTTTCTTCCTTTCCCCTGGACAGTTTCTGATACTATCCAAGCTCTTGTCTTGCTTCTGCAGGTTACACACACCCTTCCTCATCACCGCCTCATTTCTCTTTCTGACCCCCTTGCTATGTTACATAGTCACATTTACCTTGACTTTCAAGCAAACAGTAAATCTACAGAGTATCACAGAAGTAATGTCAGAACCATGTACAAAAG